TTCTTCATTTTCCATTTCATATTACATCCGTAGGAGTTGACTGACAGCAGAAACCCCTCCACGACGCCCCCGGGCGCTCGCCGTCAGCCGTGTGGGGGGCAGTGTCCATCTGCTTAAGTTGCCGAACCAGAGCGTCTAGCTTGTGTGATACATGAACTCTCTTTAATTTTTATGCCAAAACCACAAAGTTTTTACCCGTGCGCCTCGATAGGGACCTCTCAATGGCCCACATAAGTTTCCTCGGCTCCTCTCTGAGATAGACGAGGCTGAGGGCCCCAGAACTATTCAGATGTTCGTTCAAGTTCAGTTTCTGATTGAAGTTTTCTACGGAGTGCTGTATTTTCCATCCAATACTCTTCGTTTCAATACATTTGTGCTATGCATCAGAGGTGGAACAGTGGACTTGGGGCTGCGTGTGGGTTGTGGTGGTGCTGCAGGTGTTGCTGCGTCCGTGCAGCGCCTTTTCCTCGGCGTTTCTGCCGTCGATGATGCGGTGACTTTGGAGGAGGCGGGTGTTGAGGAGGTAGGAGAAGCAGCGTTTTTTCTTTCTTTCTAGCTGCATGAATTGTGGATATTTCGTCCAGCCTTGTGTATAAAATATATGTATATATCTAATGTTTATGTATTGTATATAGAATGTGTACTTATATAGTGCATATGCTTACATAGAATTTATAAAATGTGTATGGCAGTATCTTTTGTTGATGACATCTCAGATAGGGACATCTGACAATGAGGAGTCATAATTTATTCGCTAATTTATCTGAAGAAAGGAAACTGCCATGAAATATATATATTGTTCATGTTTTTTACATCTCCAGTGGTTTATGTGGATGGTGCGTGTTGCTCCTCGATGAGTAGTGTGTGTTCGTTGCGGCCTCGGCAATGCCTTTTGTTGATGACATCTTAGATAGGGACATCTGACAATGAGGAGATGTATTTTTTTCGCTAATATGTCTGAAGGAGGACAGTTGCCGAGGCTGCCGAGCTTTGTATATATATATATATATATATATATATATATATATATATATATATAGTTGTGCTGTATACCAGCTGATGTTGTTTTCTTTTTCTATTCATAAGTCTCATTAAGTTCTCTTGCTTGGTTTGTTTGTACTGTCATAATGACATAGAACCCTAGAGCATACAGCTGAACGGGGTCAAGCGGATATGAAAGGTAAAGAGTTTTGTGTGTGGGTGTTCATTCAACTTTTTCAATAGGAGTCGACTCTGTTCCAAAGCCTGGAGCTGCTGGGTGCTGGCAAGAAGCGCAAGAGAAAGACCTACACCAAACCTAAGAAACAGAAACACAAGAACAAAAAGGTTAAACTTGCGGTATTGAAATTCTATAAAGTCGATGACAACAACAACGTCACCAGGCTGCGCAAAGAGTGCCCATCGAAGACCTGCGGCAGCGGGGTCTTCATGGCTCAGCACGAGAACCGCAACTACTGCGGCCGCTGTGGCATTACTTATATTCTGCAGGCAGGGGGTGACCACTAAAAATACGCGTAGAGCGCAGTCTGTCAGTACACCCGAGTAGTGCTAAGGTTTACCGAGATGGCTTCAAGTAGAAGCGTCGTCCCATAACAAATTTTTTATGGGTTTCGGCAACCTGCCATGCAATTCAACACTTCCTTATTTAACTTTTACTGAATACACCCGCGCGTTCACTGTTGCATCCCGCTCCCTCGAGCTTTATACTTTACTGTAGTATAATATATTCGACTGTAGCAACGTTTTGCTCCCGCGAGGGGTTGGGCTGTCGTTACAAACTCATAGACATGGTAGAGTAGGCTGCTGCAGGCTCATATACACTATAGCAGCGCGTAGAGCTGGCCCCAGTTTTTATTGAGACTTAGTCTAGAACGTGACGAGATATATTATTACTAACGACACCGCCAGAGGATTCCTCGACTGCTCCGTAGCAATATAGTACATTTAGGGTGCTGGCTGCAACACCGCAAATTAGGGCTACGGGTGGGCAACAGAGGTTTTTCATGAATTATAAAATAGTAACAAGGACGTCGATGCAGAAAAAGAATTTCAGCTCAAGAAGAATGCGAGCAATCCGGCATCTGCAGTGACACTGTGACACGGCGGGGGGCCCACGCGGGACCGCCCGGTCAGCTGCTGTACCTGGAGGTGTTTATCCT